ATAGCAACGCCCAGGCTGCTGTTTGACCTACGTCTTCAATGCGTAGTTAGTGAAAGTCATCACAAGAATGCTGAGAGAGGACAAAAGTCTTGAGCCCAGAAGGTTAGAGTAAGAACATACTCAGCATTCTTGTGATAACCTTCAGAGCGCGAACTGAGGCGCTGAACAGCACTTAACATAAAGGATAAAGGATAAGGTCTTCGCCGTTGATCAATCCCTTTGTGGGATGCGGCACGCATTCTACTTCCATTCAGAATCGTAGTGGCTTATTGAATGCGATGTGGCCTATACAATGACTTGGGGCCAGCCGATGTACAAGTCAGTGTTTTATCCTCCCAGACGAATCTGGTACCAATTTACCGTCCCCGGGGGTAGAAGGCTTGGTTGGCCTAGGCGGGAGTCGACCCGGGATTTGAACCCAGGACCGCGCGAGTGGTGAGCGCACCACTTGTCACCACACCACCTCCGCCATATTAACACTTGTCATATGTATTGAAACCACTAGTAAATTTTAGAGCAGTTCGAAATCAAGTCTGCGGTTGTATCTGGCATCCCTTTCCCCAGAGAAAAACTCCTACCGTAATTCTGTGAAAATGCCTCACGTTTTTGTTAAATTGCGATTGATCAGCTGAGCAAATATGCATAAATCAGCTGTTCACACATATGCACATTTTATCGCAGCGTCCAGTTAGGCTAGTTCATGATTCGTAACTCAACGGTTTGGTGACCTATCGCCCTCCAGTGCCAAAGAACGCTGCAACTGTTACTCAAGGCCTGCGGATATCTGTCGACCGCTAAGCCTTCGTCCTTCCTAATCAAAAACATTCAAAATCAGTATGAAGATTGTGGGACTTCCAGACCTTTTTGTGAAGCGAGACAGGTAAACTGCTCTGGTTGTCCCGTATCTCTCACTCTTCTAATTTGACTGTATGAACGTGCTCCCAGAGAGCAAAACGAACTAGCATAAGTGCGAAATTCGCCCTACACTCTGAAGCAAACAGCGAAAAAAGATTAGTTGTCCCAGGGCAAGGTTGGAACCTTTCTAGACCGTTGCAGAGGTCCGTCGACTGGGGGTGGAGCGCTGTTGGTCGCAGTCGCGCGCCTTCCAAATCGCTCGAGCCGCCACGTATAAACGCGCAGTAGGCATACCCTGCACGTAGGTATCTCCGCCAACGTGCAGGGTATGCCTACTGCGTTACGTAACGTATGCGTAACGTTATGGTACGTTGTACGCCCAGTCTCCAGGACTCGTGTTTGTTATCGGATGTCAGGTTCATGGTTGCGTTAATGCGTCGAGCCCATCTGTAGTTTCCGCCATGGTCCTTTCACGGTGTATTTTTTATAGTTTTTATGGGCACACCTCGAGTGTATGAAAATGAATAAATGAATAAATAAATAAATCTTATGACAGGAACGTCTTCAGAGGCGGAGTTGTCATTCATAATCTACTGTGCCCATGAAAAAAAGTTGACTCATGTAAAACTGCCGCTTTACCAAGTAAACGAAGAAGTGAGAAAATGTGCCTGAGCACGATGCCATAAGATACGCTAGGGCTGGAGACGGGATAGCGTTGAAGCGCACAGTGTTATCGCATGAATAGTACTGCGCAACCGGATAATGATAGCTGTGACCATGAAATTTGCGTCAGTGAACTCTTTGAGTTCATAATTATGGGTTGGCATTGAATATTGAAGCGACCAAAACTAGAATGAAGTGATTCTAGAACAGGCAGAAGGGGAATAATCAAATGTGACTTAGCGCTGCAGTGTGACGAAAGGACAAATAATTAAAAATCTCTGAAAAAGTTAGTAACATTCGGATAGAACCTGGCGCGCGGTTCAGCGCGCCCCCTTGGGGACAGTCGGCTTTTTTCCCGACTGGCCACGCTGATGACCTCCCACCCCTTTTCGCTGCTTTTTAGGAGCTCGCACTTCAAGACTGTTTGTACCAGGTAGAGCTGCAGCCAATCTGGTTGCCATACCCTGCACTGGAGCCTTTCCTTCTCCATCCAGGTCTGCAAAACCCGCAGGATCCGTCTGGTATAAGGAGTGGCACTCAGGCACCAGGTTCTCCATCTGAAGACAGACAAGCAACGAGCTAGGCCTGCTCCTTGAGTGTAATCCCTACATCATCCCTGGTCCCGTGAAATACAGGGTGCAACATTGGCATGGTTGAAATGGAACTATCTGAAGGACACCTCAAAAGGAGGACTTCGGTGCGATCCCATTTCACACTACGTGTAGGAGTCAGTATAAAGCGTGTAGAACGAGAAAAATGAGCAATCAGAAAAGTTATCCTGAATACGACCCCT